CCACAACTGCGAGTTCTCTTTGGACAGACGCGACATTTTGCCTTCCATCAGCGTCATCCTCTCCTTAAACTGCTGCATTTCGGTCAGCATTCGGTTCATTAATGCCGAATTTCTACATTCGCCTGTCGCTTCGTCGCCAAAAGAAAAACGTGTCCCGGAACCGGAGATCTTACGCCTGATCAGGAACAATAGATCCGGGTAATCGCGAACAAAGTATGGATGCTGAAACTGGATGTGAACCTCCTTGATACTCTTCAACGTCCCTCGTTCCATGCTGGATACTTTACGAAAACCGTCTAAAAAATTCAAAGCTGTTAAATGCCGTCCATCGCAATGCAACTAATATACGTACAAAATCTCAATTCCGTAGGGACAAACAAACGTAGTAAAAATCAGGAAGTAGATTAGAAAATGTGGACTATGCTCACGGTACTGTAGTGATTGCAATTCAGCCAGAATAACTTCAGAAGGCACCAACGATAATAGACACAGTCAGTTACAGGATCAAACTGAAGCCATCGAAGTGTAAAGTTCTCTTGCAAGGTATATCCCAGAATATGTCAACAAAATAAAGATTTACGAAGATTTGCAGTAAGTCTAAAAAATCGACTACATTGATTCCATGCTCAAAATGACAGAAGCAATGAAATGAAACATCTTCAGAAACGATCAAGAGGGTCCAAACTGAATATAATATGCTCCAACAAAATTTGCGATAAACAGTTACCAGAACATCAGTTAAATTTCGTAAATATCTGAACTGTTCCGCGAGTACTGACAAATATAACAAAATCAAGGGCCCTTCTCAAGAAAGAAAATGACAAGTCAGCGTTAGAGTCTGCCGAAGCTCAGTCTCTGGCACAGGATCGAGAACGTTGGAAGCTCTGTCTGACGCGTCTGCCGCGTCTCCGCGACCCGAAAGGAAAACCGGTCATGGAAGATGAAGATTACGAAGACGACGAGTTAAGCAAGTCTGAAAGGGCCTGCAACTCTGAAACTTTGAATACTCGACTAAGACTGACTGACAAGACCATGAACATAAAATTACTTAGCGACAGCTGAAACACTTCGCTAGAAACGAGCATTAGTATTAAATTTGCATCTGAAGCAATATGAACAACCTTTTTCTTGTCAGCCATGCATATGAAAGAAACGAAAAGCGGCTGATCGACAGAATGCGAAGCTGAACTGCACTTAACGAACAATCGCGAACCAAGCGATTGGTTTGCGATCATATCAGGTAATATGCTAGACAAGAAATGAGAGGAATATCGAGGAATATCAAACACTGAGGTCGATCCGAAATAGAGACAAATGCCAAAATGTCAGGAATAAATCTATTTGCAAAATGACTTTATACTTCGCGCTTTAGTTAATGTTATTCCCAAAATTATTTTTCATACATAAGAAAACGCAAATATGTTTCAGAGAAAATTTGCTAAAGAACGCATTAACAATACAGTAATGAAAACTACAGGGACTGTTCGAACTACTGGAAACTATTTCGACTGTTTGCTCTGAAATATTTTTAATGAATGTATTCTTTTCGTAAATAAAGAAAAACATTCTCATCTTCAGCTTCCATGTCCGCTTCTCCTCCCGGGTAGCGCATGTAGACGCGTCAGACAGTACTTTCAGCATTTCCGATCCTGTACCAGAGTCTGGGCTTCGGCAGAAGACAACTGTAATTTGGAGTAGACTCATCCCATATATCTGAACAGAGTTAATCTTGGCCGTCACCTGGGCCTTCTGCCGTTCGGCTGAGCAAGAAATAATTGCTTCGCCTTCCTATCTGGAGGCATTCGCAACATATGCCCAAATCATCGCAGCTGCGACTTCTCAACTTGAAGAAGCATCGGCTATATACTAAGGCTCTCTCGGATTTCTGTACAACGGACAATGCCCAAACGCAGGTAGGCAACTCGTCTCAGAAAGATCATTTAAGCCGCTTGTACCAGGGTTCGAAATTATTCCATCATGGTACATGAACGTAGATGAACATGGGATGAAGATCGATTTGAAACCCGAAACCTCAATCTTCAGATTCAGTACTAATTTAGTGGTTCAGATTCATTGAAGAGAAAAGCCGCTGGCGATTCCAATCCACCGTTAGATGAGTTCCATTTTCCATCATCAGTAAACACGACTCCGCGTCAGTTGAACTTCTCCACCTGTTCCACTGCTTCTCCGTTCATCTGAAGAAAGAAACAGGGAGAACGAGAAAGAACAAGGCTTTTCGTTCACACGCATATCGGCCACGCCGGAAAAGGCGGCGAACCTTTCCAGCGAGGCTGGAGATCTATTTCAGCAGATGCCAACAAAACACGGTTGCTTGCAAACAGCAGTCTTCCAGTCTCCACATCTCCTACACCGACACACTCATCGCCTTAGCTGCTCCTGATTATCTATCGGTATGCAACACAGATGGGAGAGGAGACAGAACGCGGCACTGTCAGCGACTACAGCCAAAGCTGAAAGGTCTAGACTTAACGCCATTTACTCTGACATGACACCTGCTATCAGCATATAGTGATTAGATGGACCGTTGCAACTGACCATCGATCACATGTTTTCAGGCACTTTCATAGACTGTGACATGGGATCCGGTCATAGGTATTCTCTAGGTCTTCAAAACACATGTAAACCAGATGTACAAACCCACATGATTTCTCAACAATCTGGCATAAGGCAAACATCTGATCAGAGGTGCTTCGGTCAGACCTGAAGCCACACTGCGGTTTTTGTACCTTGGAGTAAGTTACTCCGCGGTACCTTTTCTCCAGCAATTTTGCATAGACAGGAGGCTCAATAAGGTAATATCCCGATAATTGGAGCACTCCCTATGGTCTACTTTCTTAAACAGTTGTACTACAACCCCAGTTTTCAAATTTGCTGGTGTCTTTTTTCCTCAGCCATTGCACTTTCGCAGGCAGAGCGGTCATATATAGGTTTAACATCCACATAAATAGGCAACTTTATACTTCATAGAGCGTTTTATTTCTTGTACTCGTAGACATGCCATTTTACTGACAACATATGTCATACAGTAAAGCGGAAAATTCAAGAAACTATTTCTTAAGCTGCAGCTTCCGCTTTCGTAAGCGTTGTAACTAGCAGAATAATGGAACAAACCGAAATACAAATGAAATCTACTCACACATATTCAGCTGGCGAACGAAGCTATTCAAATTTCCGTGCTTGAAAAAATATGGCAATACGTCACGGCTGAACTTTTCCGTATCCGTTATGATGAAACTGAAACCATCCTAAACAGCAACGACGATAATGAAGCAATAACTATCAAACTGTGAAGATTCCTACTGACGAGGTTTCTAAAGAAACCACGCACTGGATATGAATTGAAAATTATAAATAACAAAATCACAGTTCAGAAATGTACACTGCATTTACCGTTTAAATAAATTTTTACTGAGTAAAGGAGTGTGCGACCGCCATTGAATATGGAACAAGAACACATTTCAAGATTGCAAACCACCTATATGATAAGCCTTAGCGTAGTTGCAACCCGCTTGGACGACGACCCATTACTGGTGACTCACTGGTTTCTGTAAGAGGAGAGTAAAATGCATATATAAGAAATTTACTTGTTGGACAGAACAACAAAGAAACAGAATGATGAAAATGTACCGCAGGTTCGATAATATTGGTCTGAGATTAGCAGCATGCATCCCAGCTGTTTCCCTGCGCTTCTTCTTGCTCGTGATCGCTTTAGTCGTGTTCGACTTACTCCAGGATAATAATGTGTAGGATCAAGTATACATTCATTCAAAAATATTAATTTTGCAAAAAATGAAATCGTCTGTAATGGAAAGATGGACAATTAGCTACTGCGGTTGGCAATGTAGCTGGTTGTGCACACAGCTTGCAACAATGATACAACTGTAATGCTATTTATACAACGTTGGATGATCTCTGAACAGAACGCCATATAATAAAAACGTGGTTCTATTTTACTGACACTCGCCGAAAACGTGCGCAACACCGCTGTGAGTGTGGCTACAAGTAAACGCCAACAAGAAGATTATGAGGGTAACAGCCGGCTCGAGGGTACTAAGAAATGTTACTGCAATTTTGATGTTGACTATTCCAAAACATTGGATCCGTTTTGACAAATAATGGCAATAATGATCGTGAGATCAATCGCGTACTGGACCGAAAGAATGAATTTTCAGACGCTGTATGACATACTGAAGGGTCAAACCATAACAACTATGATCACCAACCTAAAAGCATCTATATCTGTAATGCCTAAGTACAGTGTGGAAAAATCTTTTGTCCTGATACTCGTCATGACAGCTTCCAACAACGCTGCCTACGAAGAACTCTCAAACTGCGACGGTACTACAGAGTCAAAAACGATCAGGTGCTGACAGACACCATTATGAGAAAACTATCAGATCAAACCAGAGAACGGTGCCTGGCTTGGTCTGATGCCCGGCCCAAGAGAAATGAAAATACCTTGAAGTGCTTTCGCGTGGGAATCGCCTAATGGCCTTGGGCCAGTTGGAAGACAATCCAAAATATGGAAACATATCGAGCGGTATACCTGCTTACGACGAAGAATATGGGCTCTATTACTGCAATGAACGCCTAATGTCAGTTCTAACGGATATACAATAAATCCGGGATAGACAATCTGGGTTACCCTGCGGATCAAACACTGCTTGCCTGAAATAAAGATGGCAAGGCAACAAAAAACTCGGTCATGCCTAAATGGCTTCCCTGATACATCACATTCTAATGTGAAGTAGTCCAGTATAAATCATCTACCATACGAGAATAACACTACTAATTAATTGAGTATCTTCAGTAGTTGCTTGCGACGTAAATACGCTGTATATGGAAAAACGACCCTGCCTTACCTCGTCCCATGTCGTGTGATAATTAACGTCAGTGCTGTTGACGATTTTCCACAACTTGTGAAGAAACAGGGGTGTCTGTGTGTCCCCGAAAGCATCCGAATGGGGCATGCTCTTGTCGAGTCTTCCCGCGTTGCAACTGGCGTCAGTTAATCAACGGATCACCACAAATCAAGTTAAAGCAACGTTGGCTGAAGTACAGAAGCTAAAGAATCACGATATATAACAGATAAATAAAAGTCTAGCATGGAAGCGAACTCTTCCATCTGGAGAGCAATGCGTAAGCGAACTGATCAGAGCAGAAACAGAAATGCGGAAGATGAGTGACGAATAACAAATGATCACAAACCTTAAACAGTAATCTGAGTAAAACCTTCATGCGTTTACTGCAACACCACAAGCATTATGCACAGGGTCTGTGAATGCACTACGAAGGACAAAGGTCTCTGAGGTAACACCATCCACAGCATTGTGCGGCTATAGCAACATGAACAAAGTACACACCAACTCGGTTTTTAAAATATGAGAGTCATGTAGCAGTTAAAAACTGAGTAATAATGAAAAGGATGAATTTGAATGCGGCATCGATTTTAAATACTTGACATGCTACGTGAAAATCGAGCCCATTCTCATATAACAGGTAAAATCGTAAGACGGTTCTAAGGGTATTTCAAACCTACTGGCAAAAACGAACAAATGGGGCTACCTCAGACAACTAAATGGATACATTAACGGAAGAAACTACGGTCTGTAACGACATGATGTTCCTTTAAGGCATTTTACAGTAATGATATCGGTAGCATCTCAGAGCACTACTATTACAGTGCGATATGCAACTTGCGAATTATAAATCATATGGTATTATGGATATTTCGAATACTTCTTCAAAAAAAATTGTATGACAACATGTTTCTCAAAATTAACACAATAAACATAAGTGCGTGCTAAATATCAGTCAGACAATGATGAACACGCCAATGAACAAAGCTGTTTTGGATGTCATCTTTCAGGTTGGACACTGACCACTCGCAAAATGGAAGACAGGAACGCCACTTATCTATCTCAGTTAAAATACCTGCGCGCCTCTCAAAAACCACGTACAAAATTTGAAAAGCTAGCATAATTCTGAAAATAATGTATGAATAATTAATATTCTTTCAGTGATATTAGTTTCCTATTGAACCGGAATTTAAAGATCCGTGAGACCTATCGCCATTCAAATTCAACAGGATCCCGAAAGAAATGAAGCAGTAGATCGTCAAGAAATACATCTACGCTCGGACGGCTCATCCAAGGCAACAACAACTATTAATTAAACAATCATATCGCAACGGACAAGTCACCGTCAATATAAATAAAAAATAAT